GACAGGAGGTGCGTCTGCAGCCTCATGCTGAAGCTTCCAGTAATGTATTTTCTTTTCCCTGGAATGAGCAGTTGGAAGCAAGATGGGATCCTGGGACCATGGAGGGCTTGTCTCCAGGTGGAGAGAGCTTGGCTGAAAACAACACCCACATCCTGGAGAGCAGGGTTGAAACCTGGACACCGTCTTGGTTACCCTATGGATCCCCTGGCTCCAGTCCATTCAGGGACTCCTGGTAAAGTCTCTCCTCTTCCACAAGCATAGTTAACCTGGTTTCTGTTACTACTTAAAAAAAAAAAAAATCCTGACTAATGCATCCCTTAAAATGCTGACAAAATGTTGCTGAATACTCATAGACACTTCTAACTTAATAAAGTCACTTTACTGAACAAAGTGTGCAATTGTTATAATTTCTACAATTCTATTCTATAATTTCCTATGAAGCCGGGCATAGTGGCGCATGCCTGGAATCCCCGCAACTGGCAGGCTGAGGCAGGGAGATTGCCATGTGTGTGAGGCTGGCCCAGGCTGCGTAGTGAGTTCAAGGCCAGCCTGTACTGATAGCAAGACCCTGTCACAAAAAACGAAACAAAATCCCCAAGCCAACCAACCTACCTGTGAGAGAACAACAAACAAAGCACACACAAGAGCATTATCTGTGTTCTGAAGTCTGAAAGATGTGTGGCTTAGTCAGGACAGACCCAGTACCCCAGGTGAGGCACATCTCTTGTTCTTTATCAAGCCACGTGACCTCGAACCTTATTTTTCCCTCTAATAAACTGAAGATATCACTTTCCTTAGAGTATAAAGATGTACAATATATAAAAAATTGCCCATGGCTGGACTGACCCATAATAAATGCCCCAAGGAGACAGTTTCTCCTTTACCTTTTTCGTTCTGTCTCTTTATTCATGTGAATTAAAAGTGAAATTTGGATGGGGCTGGGTGGTGCACATCTGTAATCCCAGAACTCTGGGAGGCTGAGGCAGGAGGATCACAAATTTTAGCCCAGTCTAGGCCACTTTAGCACGACTAAAAAATAAATAAATAGATAGATGGATAAGGGCTAGGGATGTAGCTCAACGTGAAGGCTATGGGTTCAGATGCTTTCCACTTAATTAATTACAGTGGGGCTCTTTGGAAATGTTGCTACAAAAGGAACAGCAGACGCAGGACCAAATGACTTGGAGGTGTGAATAATAAACATCGGTCAGACTGTATTTTAATATGAACTTTGCATAGGCCTAAAAAGAAGAGAGCAATCTAGATGCAACACTTAGCATCTGCTTTGAGCCAGACTTGACCGAAACTCTGAAAAATATGGGATTCAGGCTGTACCGAGACTTGCAATGCTGTGGTCCCTGTCCGCTCATCACCTGTATCTTTGCCTTGCAGAACCCAGCACCCCATTTCATGGACCACCTCCCCCTGCCTCGCCCGCACCTCCTGTGCTGCCTATTCCTGTGACATCTGGCCTGACTCTTTATGCTCTATCCTTAGCATCCAGTGAGTCAACAGAAACAGCAGGCCTCAGCTGGAGAACTTCACAGAAAAGACCCAGTGATGCAGTTTCCAGTTCTCCATGTTCCCCCCTCAAAAGGAGCCTGTTCCACCAGCTCTGACCGGCTTGAATAATTCAGCCACTCAGCTCTGCATAGGGATGTGACAGTTAGTGGTTGATTTTATGTGCTGCCAGTTAGTTCTGTCACGCTGGCCGTGACCTGCTGTTGCAGTGGATGAAAACATACCCGGTCTTGTATCTATGGTTTCATCTTATGTACACAAAGCCTGCTCCTAGGCTCACTGCCTGGACCCTCACAGTGCAGCACAGCTCAGTGTTCAAATCCCAGCTCCACCCTTGCCAGCTGTGTGACTTTGCCAATCTTAGTTTCTCCATGTGTAAATGGAACGACCAGTACCTTCTTGAGAGGGCTATGAAGTGACTGAATGTGGACCAGCTCCTAGCACTAAGATCTTAGTACTTGCTGATTGATGCCAATACTCAGGGTCCAGTGGACGCAGGCTAGGCTCAGGGTTGGGTCCTGGTTGTATCACTGCTGGCATTTCCTGGGAGCAAATGACTGCAGCTAGCCCCTCATCTGATCTGTGTCATTTTTTGTGTGTGAATCCTATTATATAAAAGCAATGGCCTCTTAAGACAACGTACTAGTTGATAAAATCACAATAAACAATGGCAAAGTCTGTGGTACTATTTTCCTGGGTATTGCTTGAAATAAGCAGGCTATTAAATTTGAAAATTAGTTTACATCATACTGGGATCAAACCTTCATGTAACATGCAGTCACCATATAGTCAGTGGAGTTTTGGATTTAGCCTTACACTGTAATTCACCATTTTATTCCTGCTGGTCAGTGAAGTCCTGTGCAGACATCTGCCACACTTTGTCACAAGTAAGGAATATTGTCAAGTTTTATTAATGTAAATAAAGAATACCTATCTAAACCCTTTTTCAAGATTCTCAGCAGGCAGAAGCAAGCATTCCCAAGGGATTCACTTTTTATGATTCTTCAGAACAGGTTATAGCTATAATTCTTTGATAATGAGAGGAAGTCACATGTCCCAAGATTTGAATTTAAAAACATCCAGATCATTCAAAAATGGTTTCACAATGGATCAAGTAATTTTAGGTGCTGCTTCCTTAGGAAATAAACTCCGAATTTCCAAGGGAAGAAAAAGGGACAAAAATCAAATTCAAGAGTCTTATTTTAAACATACTGAGTCTGATGCATAAATCATGTTAATGGCGTCTATTAAGGAAAACCACATAACTTCTACCCCAGATTCCAGGAAAAGAAAGCTCAACCTGTGAGGTGCGGTGCAGTGTGGGTGCAAGAAAGTGAATACTTCTGAGGCAGCAGAGTCTTGGTTCCGCTGCTTGATGAGGGACCTTCTGTGATTTAACTCCCTTGAACCTTAGTTTCCTCATCTGTAAAATGGGGCTAACAATGGTGCATTCCTCAAAAGGTGATATGAAGATTAAGGGTAAAGCACAGGAATTGAAATATAAGAAGAACTCAGAAAACACGAACTATCTAACCGTTGGGAAAAAAATACAACCTCCCAAACCAATGAATGTCAAGGCTGATTTATATTACACTATGGTTAAAAACAGGCAGCTTTTCCCAGATGAGTTCATAAATAATACAAAAATCCAATCTCCCCTCCTCACCCTAAGAGGCTGGGAGCAGACCTTCCTGTGACAACTCATGAGCAATGGGGGACAAGGAGTCCTCCCGGCAGAACAGCAGGTGAATCCCTTCCGGTTGCCAGGTGTCAGACTTGACAATTCTCTGCCTTGACATTTTTTAGGTCTCTGTGACGCTCAAGCCCTCAGCATGTTCTGCTGGAATTCATTACCTCATGTGAAAAATCTCATTTAGGCTACATGTCCTTTTCCACAAAAGGATGTTAAGTAAGATTGAAAAAGAACAAGACACTGTACACATTTTTATGGGGGGGAAGGGCAGCGGTTCCTTTTGCCCACAAGTACAAAAGCTCCTGTAGATGGGTGTGGTGGCGCCCACCTTTAATCTCAGTACTCAGGAAGCAGAAGTGGAAGGGTTTTAGAGTTTGAGACCAGA